CGTTTGCATAGTGCAGTTGGTGATAACGACGGTATTTTTATGCAAAGGTCGAAACTGGTAGTTTGAAAGTGTCGCAAAATAATGAGAGTATATCGGCTTGCTAGAATTTTGCACCATTTTAATGCTTTCTATCTGCAAATTCGTATCAGCTTTAAGTTTTAATTATAAGATATTCACCTAGTTTTCAGAAATAAATAATTGGCCAATGCACGGGCTGCCCGTGCGAAGATGCGTTTTTTGCAGAGTTCCCCGCAGTTCTTGTCGCGACCGGCATCGGTCTTTTCGGCAAATGTTTCTAGCTGAAAGAATTTCAGACTGACCGCCAGAACTGTCTGGAAACATCCCCTCAAAATTCCAGTCTTCTAGCTTCTCACGTTCTCGACTAAGTAACTTCCCCGGAAGGAACCTTCACGGGCCTTTACGTAGGTACCACGCTTACCCGCGGGCAGGGTTTAAACTCGTTAATACCCACTTAGACAGGGAACATTCCCCCTAAGATTGCAGCTGTCTAACTTCTCAAAACCCCGAGTTATGAATTTGGGCGCGAAAAATTTTGGGGGGCCCGTACGCAGGTACCACGTTTGCCCGGGGGCTGGATTTGAGCTCATTAGCACCTGCTTGGACGAGGAACACCCTAAAACTTCAGCTTTCTAGCATATAAGAACCCCGAGTTATGAATTTTCGCGGGAAAAATTTTGGGGGTCCGTACGTGGGTACCACGCTTACCGGGGTTGGATTTGAGCCCGCTAATAGCCGCTTGGACGGGGAACATTCCCCCAAGATTTCAGCCTCCTAGCTTCTCAGAATCCCCGAGTTATGAACTTACCCGAAAAAAACTTTGGCGGGCTCGTACGGGGATACCATGCTTACCCGGGGCTGGGTTTGAGCCCACCACTAATACCCACTTGGGCGGGGAACATTACCCCAAGATTTCAGCCTCCTAGCTTCTCAGATCCCTAAGTTATGAATTACCCGAAGAAAATTTTGGCGGGCTCGTACGAGGGTACCATGCTTACCCGGGGTCTGGGTTTGAGCCCACTAATATTTGCGCGGCGGGGAACATTCCTCCAAGATTTCAGCCTCCTAGCTTCTCAGATCCCCGAGTTATGAATTTGCGCGGGGAAAAATTTGGGGGTCCGTGCGCGGGTACCACGCTTACCCCGGGGCTGGATTTGAGCCCACTAATAGCCGCTTGGGCGGGGAACATTCCCCTAAAATTTCAGCTTTCTAGCACATAAGAACCCCGAGTTATGCGGGAAAAAATTTGGGGGGCTCGTGCGGGGGTACCACGCTTACCCGGGGGCTGGGTTTGAGCCCA